CTGCAAGCTTGTGCAGTGCAGGGCATCGCGATGGCTCCGTATAACGAGTGTCGAAATAGCTACAAGCCTGGTGGCCCAGCTCTTGGAAAGACAAGAGGCGTGGGACGAATGGTAGAGCCATACCCACGCCCGTCGCTCTTCCAGTTCCCCTGAGAATGAAAGCTAGCCTGGGTGGCATGGGCGCATCAATAGACCCAGCTTTCCGATGCTCGTCCCGCGCACGCATTTAACTTGCTGCTGCTCACCCACTTCACACTTGCGCCCACCCTATCCCCGCAGAACGTGATTCGTACAAGGATCAATCCATCGTCACCCTGTACATCCTCACAGTCACCGGCTTGTTGCTCTTTGCAACTCTTCGTACTCGTCTACCAGGCTGGATAGAGGTGCGTACACCACGTCTCGGCAAGGGCGACATTTTACGAATGTGCAGAGAGCGTATCCGCTGACGTTGGGGTCTCACGACACAACCAGGATTATCGAGCTCAGGGAGCAGCGGGTGTCTACAGATCTCTTTCTGGACGCCACTAATATCAGTACTTCGAACAGTCCCCTGCCACTTCCGACGCGTCTCGGATCCATTTAATGTGTCTAATTGCACGTCACATTCATTGCCCTCTCCTGTATTGTACCTTCTTCGAGCGATTCCTCAAATCCGCGTATGCAGTAAGATTTCTGACTGTAGATTGATGGCGCACGACTCAGCCATTCGCGAGAACACCACCTCAGAATAAACAAAGCGTCTATAGCTGCGTTTCCCGTGGATCGACGAGTCGTTTAGGATGCATATGCGAGTCTTCAATGATGGTGAGGATGAGAATCTGGGTGAAGTTGATGATGGACGAGCTCTTTGACCCATTGATATGTCGCAAAGCTCGTAGCTATGCTAGGCGCCACCTTGAGTAGGTTAGGTATGATGCCTGCGGCAGCAATTGTTATCGCGCTGGTGAGCCAACATGCTAAATGCCTAGCCTGGGTCTCACTACCGCATGGAGCCTTCAAGCTCACCTCGATAGAGTCCAAAGAAGCCATCGTTGACAAGGATGGTGCGAATCGCGGCCCAGCTGTTCTTGTCCGAGTAGCCTAGCTTGCTATCTTTCATTCCTGCCACCTGCATTCTCCTCCTAAGCACGTCTAGCGGATAGGTCAGGGTCTGGCTGATGGTTCCAGCCAAGGCTCCGCAGATTAAATTGCTCAACGTCGATACTTCGTCCGACGGACCCGACGGTCGACCGAAATTCCACGCCTTGAGCGATTCGAACGCGAAAAAGTTGATCGCTACATACGGAGCGACTCCCTGAGCACGATGCGGGTCAAGTCATTGCAAACGGAGATCATCAGCATGGGCTAGGTTGCAAGGGTCGGCTGAGCTCACTCACAACGCTCGTGGGCACGCAACCTCTGTACAAAGCCCGTATACCTCCTTCTTCGGCGTAGACTTTGCGAGTCATTCCCCAAATGCCCGGCACCCTCTTTTGTCTCGCTTCTATCAGCTTGCGTAATTCTGCCCGGCTGAGAGGCTTTGAAGGTTTCTCCTGCTTCGCAACGCCCTCTGCAGCTGTAGACGCGACGGATTGTGCACCACCAGCAGTCTTGCTGGCCGCTGCGTCCTGCTTGGCCTCGCTGTACAGCGAAGCGGAAGCAATGCTGATCCGAGAGCGCACGAGATCCAGAGGATAGGTGGACACGACCGATGCTATACCTGCAAGAGCACCGGCTGTCAAACGTTTTGGCACATCTAATTCGCCCTCAGCATCCCGCATTGCCTGCAAAATGACCATAGCGTCGAGAAGCGCATCAACACACTGCAACAAAGCATAGCAGCTGCCAAGACTGACATACAACTCACATTCTTTAGCACTTCGTAAGTGCTGAATTGAACAGCAGAATACGGAGCAATCCGAAGACAGTTGATGCCGTTCCCTCGCATAAAGCCTTTGAAGCCTTCCTCTACCCACATCTTCTTGAGTCCGACCCATACGCCAGAGTAGGCACCCTTTCCCGCTCCTTTCGCCGAGCCCCCTACTTGGTGGGGCTGAACTTGCCTGTTGTAACCGGAGGAGGCCAGTGCGTTCACCGCGTCAGGGTGAGTTGCTTCAGATAATCGCGCCCGAACACCATAGCATAACGGACCCCTGACAGTCCCGCCAGTGGCCTGCTTGAGTACTCACATGATGATCTTGAGTCTCTCCAGCGGACTAACAACAGTCCTGCTCGTGGCTCCAGCGGCTCCACCAGCCAGGAAGTAACTGATCAAGAAAGCCGAGCTTACAGCGCTCTCCTCCTCTTGCTCCTGCGTCCCATCCGCAACTTTGGCTTCTTGAAGCGCAGCATTTGACTTGGCAGCGTCTATGATGGATTCTTGTCTGTCTGATCGCCTGCCGAACCATGATCGCAGCGAGCTATGCTCTGGTCGCCTCGAGGAGAGATCTGATGATGGTTGAGTTCCTCGGGAATGTGAAGTCGAGAGTAGGTGGGAAGAGTAGCTGTTCGGAAGGTGTAACCTTTCGAGCTCTGCAGCCTCGGCGGGAGTCAGAGGTGTGAGGCTAGACCGCGCTCTGCTCGAGCTACCGGCGCTCTCTGTCGCAGGGGCGAACGTCGTCCCCGACTCATCTGAGTGTGCTGTGAGAGGTACAGCAGATGTTCTTTGGAGCACGAATGCTTGCGCTCTGCTTTCTATTTGCGTGGTCGGGCTGTGCGAGAAGCTTCCACCCAGCGCTCCCCACTGTTCCGATGGGCTTTGGGCATCCTTCTCATGCACGCCCATCCATCTGTCTCTCCACCTCCTTGTCGCCGCGGGCGCCCGAGGTCCAGAGCTGGAGCTGGCAGATGAGGAGTCCGATTCTGTCACATCTGCCATAGGTCCACCGAGCGAGATGCTGCTCGTAGCGAATGGATTTGCTGCTGCACTGCTAGCCTCTTGCGAGTAAGACTTGGAGGAGCTTCTCTTTCGACCTTCACTGCTGGTGCTGCTGGAGGAGCGAATTGACTCGCTGGCGCTTGAGCCGGACGTCGAGCCAAACGCCGAGGTCGAGGAAGCGCTGGATGCGCTCATGTTTGCACTCTCTGGCACTCTGGCAGGGCAACTTCACTACTGCAAACAGGTTGTCTATCAAGGACTACTGCTATCACGGAAGGTGTGGGGGAGCCTTCTAGCGAGCGGTTCCCTTGGATCTATATATCTTCGCCATGACACGCGCCTCGATGACACGTGAAAGCTATACAGCGTGCTGGCCAGAGGTGGTGCGGGAAGCTGGATGGAGGGCAGGCTGAATCTTGAATGTGCTTGAGATGCGGCAGGAGGTGGACACCGAGGTTGAGAGGTGTCAAGAGTACCAATGCTTCAGTAAGAGGCGCTCTTACCCCAGACTTTGCGGCTGCTGTCACCTTACCGGTACCGGTCCAGGGAATGTTATTCACCCGCACCACGCGATCGATCCATCACGAATCACGAATGGGTGCGAGGATCTCTGCAGCATGCACGATGGCTCGGGACGCAGCATTCAGCAAGCGTCCGGAAGGATCCGGCTCTTCTTCGCCCACGCATTCGCCGATCACGAATATCACGTGATTTAAACCGCCTTGCTCGGTTCCACTCTCGACTTGCACTTTCTTCTGTTGTTGTGCCCTGATACCCCGGAATTACAGCTCAAGGGCAAGCCTCTGCGGGCCCAGTCGCTACAACACACGTATGACCAGATAGATTGTGGATAACGCACGTATGACCAGATAGATTGTGGATAACATTGCAAGATAGGTATGCAGCGTGTGCGCTACAGGGCATCGCTACCGCAGAATTTGGATTCAAGTCAAAGGCTCCCCGCACTGCCGCCGTGGACATTTGATGAGCGTCTGGGGAAAGGGAGGTATCGATGTTAAGTCGTGACAAGACGTCTAAAACTTGCGCTGGCTCTTGTCCCTGACGGGAGATGAAGGTCTGGAGTGTTGCTCCTTCTGGGCAGCTTGCAGCTCCGCAAGTCTCGCCTTCATCTTCGGCACGCCCAATAGCTTGTGCTCCAGTGTCTGCAGAGTATAAATCGAAGCTCAGTGCGTGCGCCCCTCTGCTCGAAGCGGACAAGTGGCCGACTCACTTCTTTCTCTGTCTGCAAGGCCAGTCGCTTTTCCGCATCGAGAGGGCCAAATGTGTATGTACCCTCGCCAGTGAAGGCCAGACAATGAGTGTGATACCTCCAGAGCTGGAGAGGGTGATCAGATGCGTCAGGTACGATCTGGAGATGCGAGAGCAGCACGCGAGAACTCACCGACGATCTGTGCGAGACCGAGAAGACGGTGGTACCGATGGAAGCGGCATGACTGTAGAGCTTCTTCTCCAGCTCAAGACTCATGTTCGAAGTACACTCGTCCAAGACTATGTGGAGTAAGGCAGAAAGTAAAAGCATCAGCACGAGCAATAAGTATTTACCTCGTTGGACGAGACTCACCAGCGAACTTAGGCTTGTGGAAGTACAACCTAGCCAACGCTAATCTTTGCTTGTCTCCTCCACTCAAACTCGAGCTCCAGTCGGTTTGCGCATCAAATCCTTCATCAAACCTTCCGACAATGTCTTCGAGCTCGACGACGCGGAGCAGATCCAGTAATGCCTCATCTGCAACGCCCCTTGCTCTCATCTCTGTCGCTGTGAGTGGGTAGATAATCTGATCTCGTAATGTTCCCAGCGAGGTATAAGGCCTCTGCGGAACGTAGAAAATATCTGCTGGTTTGGGCTTGTGGATGGTTCCACCCAGACATGGCCAGAGTTCACCGAGTAGTCGGAAGAGGGAACTCTTGCCGCAGCCTGATGCGTAGGGCAGCGCTTGCCGTGTCAGAACAGCCGCGATTGTAGGGGATGGCAACCCTAACTGTACTTACCATTCGGGCCAAGAATCAGAGTCGGCATGCCGGGCGAGACGTGGAAGGACATGGCCTTGATCAGGACTTCACCAGCTGGTGTCACGATCGGCACATTCTCGAAGATGATGTCTTCAGACTCGACGATCTTCCCTCTTGTCTTCAGGAGCTGTGCCACCTCTGGATCGCTGGCGCTTGAGACCAGCTTCTTGTCGAACTTGCCCGCCTTCACGTCCTCCATTGTGCCCAGCAGCTCGGATACGCGAGCAGTATATCCCGCAAGCTCGGCAACTTCCTTGTACGAGTACATGACTCGACCAAATGCATCACTGCTGGACAGCAACAGTCTGCGGTTCGTGACAAAGGCTTCCGTTCGCGAGCCCAAGTCGCCTGCCTTGGCCCCTGGGATTTTGACAAAAGCTGGGATCGCGCAGATGACAAGCTGGAAGGCATACGGAATGTCAGGATTGGTCAGTGCCAAGAAAGCAGGGTGCAAAGTTCGGTCGTCCATGAGACTTACACCCAAAGCACCCCAGAACCATTTGATGATGCCTTCCTCCACCATGCCGTGACCAATCCTGATGCGATAGACTCGGTTGACATGCTTGATCAAGCTAAAGTACGCTCTCTCAATCGCGCCCTTCTCCGTCGCCTGGCCTCTGTAGAATGCAATCTCTTCGCTATTCTCAATGAGACGAGAATGTGTCCATCTGAACTCGCCTTCCAACCTCTGACCTTCAGCGGCGTACTGTCCGAAAGGTGGGGTGAGCGCACGAAGCAAAGCTGCGCTGCCCTGCACGAGGAAGTTGATGAAGATCAATCCCTCGGCACCGACATTCTGAGACAGCTGAAAGTTGTAGAGGAGGACGTCCAGAATAGGCTCTGGAGAGGGCAAAGGAAAGGTGAAGGAATGAGCGTCTCCAAAAGTGCTGCGAGGAAAGACTCCAACTCACTTGACACATTGCTGTAGCATTCCGCAAGACTAGCCGAGAATTTGGCGATGTCAACAGCGATGAGCTGATCAGCGTTTCGGACGCGATCCTAGTAAGGCAGGGCATTGGCAAAATGGAAGGGTGGTCTGATAAGCTTTCAGATCGGCCCTTCAGTGATTGATTGGCTTGTACTCACGTCCAAGTTGCCAAGCTTGTAGTATGTGGCATCTGACAGATACATGTCATGCACCTTTTGAGTAAGTCTGGACCTATATGCCAACGCAATCCGTGATTGCAGAAACTCGATCATGGCGTTTGTGTAGGTAGCAGGAACTGCGACTGCCATCCACCAGATGATGCCTGTGATAAACTGTCTGGTCTGACCTCGTACCAAAGCGGAGACGATGCGGCCATCGAGGTCTGCGACGTATAGAGACAACATGGTTCGGAGGACCAGGAAGATGGTGTGGCTCAAAAGCAGGAAAGACTCCTTTGACCGCAGTCCCGGGATCACGATCCTAAGCAGCTGTAGAAAGAAAGGGCACCAAGTCAGTCAGAGTTGTTGGTAGTGGTGGCAAGGACGATCAAATGACCAGAGCCTTCTCCATGTGCCGTCCTCAAGCACCACCGTCGCCTACTGGTCCTGCTGCACGACCGCTTTAGCCTCGACTCACCTTTTTGAGTCTAGCAAAGAAGAGGGCGTCCACCTCAACCTTTGGTCCTCTTCCCTTCTTCCCCTTTCTGCCTCGTTTCCCACCACTCTCGTCGGCCTCTTCGACCTCTCTGGTTTGCTTCTCTAGCTGCGTGCCTTCTTTTCTTCCATCTGTTGCAGCCGAGCTAGCTCCAGCAGCCGAAGCAGCCGCCACCTTTTTGCCAGCATCTCTGTCCTTCTTTTTTGGCTTGGGATTCAGGCTCTTCCAAGTGCCTATCAAGATGAAGGAGCCGTAGCCAATCTGTAGGATCCTTTGAATCAGCGCATGGTTCTCCCGATATTTCATCGCTCCCTGAATCGCGTAGTTTGCAGCTTCCATCTTGGCCGCTTCATACTGCGGCTGAAAGCGCGAGAGCACCGCCATGCTGCAAAGCTTGTGGAGTGTCGATGTGTGGGTGCTTGGTAGTGGTGTATGAAAGGGTGCTCAAGATTGCTGAGCCAAAGCGCGCAAGTAAGTCGAGAGGAATTGCTCTTGATCAATTCGCCTGCCTACGAGTTGGCGAGACTGCCTGAAGATGGCGCTGGCGAGAAGATCGAGATCGCCTACCGTTGACGAGCTGCACTTGGTCTGCTCAGACTGACCAAGATCGCGCCGAGGTAGGTGGACTTGAGGGGTGTCACGATCGCGTAGACCATCGTCAGACCAATAGTGATACACACTCACAATTTGGTTTCGCGACTGCGATGCGAGACTCTTGACTCCAAAAGGCAGACCGAACACGCCAAAGCGGGCGGGCCGGCGTCCTGCGCGCGTGCGTGCGTGAGTGCTTGCGTGTGAATCAAAGACCGCGTGTAGCCAGCAGGAGCTCTGCTGCTGAGGGCGCGATGGCCGAGCGAAGTCAGCACACAAGGGTTCAGTCACGAATCAGCGCGGCGTTTCCGCATTGCCGGCCACAATTCATCATCTCAATAAGCATCATACATGTACCGGGTACACACATGCAGACCAGCTGTCACTGCGCTTTCGACCCATTATGCACTACACCGGTCGAAAATTCATGACTCTCTCGAACTCTTCCTCATGTGCGTGTGTGAATTTACAGCATGGAAGTGCCTTGCATCTCGGGCCTCGGCGACGGCACACCGGTCAAGTGAGCCGGAGACGCGTCGGGTGCACAAGGAAAATTAGCAGCGAGCTCCGCCGCACGCCGCTGCGTTGAGAGTCGCCACGTGATTGGCAGTCGTGTGTTCCAAAACTGAGTCAAAGTCAAGAGTCACCAGTTTTGAGTCACAGTGTTCAAGATTGAGTATCGAGTCAAAATAAGACGCTTGACTCCGGACTGCAATAAGGGTGGTGCGCTGCCTCGCCTCAACTGTATGATTGAGCTAGGGGTTCAGTCGATGCGTTCCCGGCAAAATCGAACGAACCAGGACACGCCTCCTAGCTGCGCGAGCGGCACAAAAGGGATCACACCTGTCACCGCGTGCCAAAGAATTTGGGCTCAATAGATATCACTTGCGAAGCACGGAGGGGTGGGGTGCGTGATGTTGGGAGGCACTGTGGTTGCTCGACGTTGCCTTCTCTAATTGCCGCGGCGCCAATCGCTGCTGACTGCGGCTGGGCCCCAGCCACGCGGAGAAGGAGCTCTGGAATTGTACTGGCTACCAGCAGCGCTATATCTGCCAGCGCCGGCGTAGTCCAGAGAAGAGATTGCACTGCCGTATCCAGAAGGAGATGGCGGTCGAGTGGTGTTCCTCGAAGGTCCCATAGTCTCGTCCACAAAGCGGTCCAAAACGTGCACAACCCCAGCTGTCAGCCTTTCGAACTCCTCGATCTCCTGCGGCACCAGATGCAGCTCTGATCGATCGCCGTACTCGACCCCAGGACTGGGCGCCCGCTCGTCCTCCTCGTCTTCGTCGTGATTGCGCGAAGATGCGGCATGTCGGGGGGAGCGTCTCTTGCGGTGAATGCAGCCCTCCATGACGCGCAACATGCAGGCGTCCAAGACGGTCTTGAGTCTATCGATGTCGTCTAGAATGTCGAAATGGCCTTTCACCGGCAGCCAGTCATCGCACCGGATGCCTCCATCGCCCATGCGCACTTGATTGGCTCCGAAGAGCATGTACGTGAGCACGTTCAATCGAGTGACGCCTCGCAAATATGTCATCGCGCCGCCACCTCCACCGCTGCCTGTCACATTGGACACATTTCTAACTTTCTCGCTGAAAGCAAAGAGCTCACGCTCGCTCACAAACTGGTCTTCCTGAGTTTTGTTGTCTTTGGTGAACTTGGAGTGGCACACGCTGGATGGATGGATAAAGCACGCCTGCAAGATGGACACAAGGATTACACGTGATGAGACATGCGCGGTACACTCTCAAAACGCTCAAGTCGAGCTCACCTTGTCTTGATCCGTCATCAAAGTCCTTTCGTTCCTCTTGATGGCAAAGTTAGGCGTAGAACCAAGAGCGATCAAGCCCGTCAGCAAAGTGCTGGATGCGCTATTTCCATTCAACTCTGGCTGGGTAGAGCTGAGCCTGCTACCACGCCACCGCTGCCCAGAGGTGTTGCGCTCCTGTCCAAGCGTGAGATCGAGAATGCCGGTCTTTTCAAGACTCTCGAATAGGTGTTCCTTGACCTGCTGTATCTGCAACAGGGTCACCCTGCTGAGGAAATTCTCGCTGCAGAAGCGATTTGCCCGTTGATATTCACCGCTGCTCTGCAGGCTCCACCATTTGTTGTACGCGTTGAGGATTGTCAGGGGATCTGAGCGGAAGTCGGGTGGGCACCACCTGTCCTTCGCAGCATTAGCTTCGGCTTTTAGTTGTATGGGCGCCATAAAGGGATCACGGCTCGTCATAATGGCCGCCAGGCTCAGCGTCGGATCCAGGCAACGGAAAAAGGCTCCGTAGAGGCACATTTTGCCCATTGGCGCATCGACTGGCAGTTGCAACAAGACTGTGCCGAGGGCGGTAAGCTGCTTACTTTGGTTCAGTGCGCCTACCATGAACAGCTTGGACATGGCTGCAGCCACTCTTTCGGAGCTTGGAGGCTCAATGGCAGCATCTAACACATCTTCCACCTCCATGCCCGGAATGGCAAGAGCTTTGATGTGCATCACCGTGTTGCTGAGGTCCGTGCGGTGCATCTCGACCGTTTGGTTGACGTTCAGTCTATCGTAGCGAGCGCGTGAAAGCACTCCGTAGTACTCTCCAGGACGATGGCGACCTGCGCGACCTGCTCGCTGATTCAAGTTCGAGGTACCCACCCATGCCGAAACCAAGCTAGACAGATGGCGTTCTGGATCAAAGCGCTTCTCCTTGACGCGCCCACTATCAATGACGTACACCACGTCGGGAATAGTGACCGATGTTTCCGCGATGTTGGTGGCTAGGATGACCCGACGAGTTGACGGATCAGCAGGTGGATCGAACACAGCTTGCTGCTCCGCGACTGGGATGGACGAGTGGAGAATGTGTATCTCGACCTTGCTCCGATCATTGAAGTTCACGCCCATAAGCGGTCGCGAATACGTATCCTGCAGGATTTGATTAACGGCCTTGATCTCGTCCCAGCCCGGCATGAACACCAAAACATGCCCGTCCTGGGAGCGGACCAGCACGTCGGCGATCATAAGAGCAATGAGGGGGTAAGGTAGCTCCAAATCGTCGATCGCGTCCGCGTTCTCGCCCCCGTTGGCGTCATCTGCGGGCTTTACAAAGCCGCCGCCTTGACGAAGCTCGCGATCAAGGTAATCTCGGACGTTCTTCTCTTGCCAGACCCAGCCTCCATCGCGATGACCGAGGCCGAGCTTTTGCAGCCGTGGGATGTAGTCGTCCATGTAATTTTTGTCCACTGGGAAACTTCGCCCTGGCACCTCGACGACCGGAGCCGGCTTCAGCAATGGCGGAGGGCCTTGGAAGTAGTTGGTAAAGAGTGTAGGGTCGATCGTGGCGCTCATTAGGATGAGCTTGATCTCTTTCTTGCCCAAGCGACCTCTTTCTTCGAGAAGACGCTTGATGACCACGAGTAGCAAGTCTGTCTCAACGTCTCGCTCGTGGACCTCGTCAACCACAATATGGGTCAAGCTATCCAAGAAGGTATTTGATGCTTCGCTCGTGTCATCGAGCGCAGATTGAAGACGACGAAGGAAGACACCCGTTGTGCAAAAGGTGATGGACCCGTTTGGCTCTGGCAGCTTGTGGTCGAAGCGCACTTGGTAGCCAACACTTTGACCCAGTCTTTCGCCTCGCTCTTTGGCAACACGTTGCGCGACGCTGATCGCCGCAATACGTCGAGGTTGAGTGCAGAAGATGTTGCACTTCGCGCCCTGATCTTGAAGAATGAAGTCGTCAAATAGCATCTGAGGTATCTGAGTCGTCTTACCAGATCCTGTCGCGGCCATGACGATCGTCACTTGGTTCATCGCGATCTTGACAAGGACGTCGCTCGCTTTCTGTTGAACAGGTAGACTTTGTCGCTGCTGGCGCAGAGTTTTGACGCGCTCGTCGATTTGGTACTCGTCGAGTCTCTGCTTTAGTTGTTTGCTTTTTTCTGTAAGCTCAGCTTCCGAGGCAGGACGGGCGCCAAACGGCTTGCGTCTATCCGTCTGGGCATTTCCACCTCCAACAGCGACTTCGTGGGCTTGGGGTCTCTTGGAGTACAGTAGGCTTTGCTTTGCGCTGTCGGAAATATCTCGAAAGTCGTCGTCCAAATCATCTGAAAGGCGAACGTATACGTGGGGTGCGCTGCCGATGGGTGCGCCCGGCTTGTAAGTCCGATCGAATCTTTCCCACAAGGGTGGATCGGATGCTTCGATGTCCTTTACCGCTTCCATGTAAGCTGCCGAAGTTGCCGCTTTTTTGTTGTTGGCAAGCGTCTCGCCCATCGCCTGACCACCGACGATCAACTGCGCTTTCCACGCGCTGCCGCCTGCCTTCTTGCCCTCCTTGCGAACCGCACTTGAGATCGCAACTTCGGGCTTGGCAAATTTAAATTCCTTGCAATAGAATTCCATGAATTCTCGCGCTCGCTCAGCCTTTAACACGTGGCCATTGGAAAGGGTCACTTGCTCCTCGGGTGCAGCAGCTTTTGCTTGCGCCCTTGCTTGCTTCTGCGCTTCTTTGGCCGCCTGCTGCTTGGAAGTGAAGAGACCAGTCTCTTGAAGCAGTACGAGAGCAGCGAGACAGGCACTGCGCTCTGCGATCTTTTTGGAAGCTCCGTCACCGTAAGCGTGAAGATCTTGGTCCTGGTCAACGCAGATCTTGGCTCTGGATGAAGGGTAGAAGTAGGTCATGGGAAGTTGGTCATCCGCAGGGTGCAGCTCGCGTTCATATGTAAGCGCACTCGAGACTCACCTGACAGACTTCTCGCGGCGACCCTCAACGTGGCCTTCTTCATGTGCAAAGTTGATCTTGCCGCCGATACCATAGACAACATTCCAGTACGACTGAAGCGTGCTTTTGGGATCGGTTGCCCACTTAGGATGTGGACCGATCAAGTGCGCATGGGCCTCTTGCAGAGCCTCAAAAGTCTGCAGCGGACCAGTGAGAATTTTGGAAGTAGCAGCAGGCTTAAGTCTTCTGCGTGGTGTGGCGCAATCAGAATCAGCACAGAGCGCAGCGAGCACCGAACGTACTGATGATCTCACTTGGCTGACTGCTTGGCACCTCGTGTCTGGCCTGCTTCACCGCCCCGACGTGTCGCACTCGAGCTGAATACTCCTCCATGTCCCCACGTACTAGCACCACCGCTCGGAGCGGAGGATGAGGATGTGGATGGACCTCTAGATCTCCATGATGCTGCGGAATCGGCCATAGAGCCGGCCGGAGTGGGGGCGTCCTTTGACCCTTGAGATGGCGTCGGTCGTGACGGTGCTGCACTTGCGTGATTGGTCCTGCGCTGACTCAAGAAGAGCGATGCGTAGCGGGACTGACGCGTGGCCGATGCTGATTTGCACAAGCTTCGCGGATTCGATGACGAGGCTGCGCTTGTCAGACCAAACGCCAGCAATTGGCAGCGAGGTGTCGTTGTTCTGGTCGGCGCGAGAGGATTACCGCGTGCAATCGCGCTTGCGAGACGCCCGTGAGGGATCATGTACCAAGGGAACAGCCAGTAGCTGGTAGATGTAGCTGCGCTTGTGGGCGAAATTGATTCAAGATTGTGAAGAGTCACAGGTCAGCAGAGTGAAGTGCGAAGTTTGCTTTCAAGAGGTGGCGCTCAGATCGCGTAGGATCAAAGCGTGAAATTTTGGAATTTTGAAAAGTCAAACGTGAGTTTTGATGCGTTTCCAGCCAAAATCGCACGCATGTGACCAAATCATGCAGGAAGGATCAGATCACGTGCTGGAGGGCTGAGCTACTTTGCTCTTGACTCTATCGCACGAGTCGCACGCCAGCTTCCTGCAGGAGTCCGACTCAAGCGATCGAGCGCGTCCACGTCCTCTTGCCGCGTAAGAGACGCGCGCGTGACCACGCACAGCCTGACCATTACGATTCAGATTATTCCTGCACTCAACTCTCACTCAGTAAGTCGCGACTTTTACACGCAGTCAGTCTGAGTCATATCGAAGACAACTGTCCCGTTGTTGAAGCACGTTGTCACCTCTCATCAACTTCAGCGCAGAATTTGCACTGTGATCTGCGACATCGCCGACTCAGCATTCACCATTCTTTTGCAGCTAGGGCATCCAAGCACGCTAAATCTTCCAGCCTGACGTCGTGAGATTTTGCGACACATCAGTACCTCCGCTTGTATGCGGATGATTGCGCGCATCTACGCGCCCTTTGGCTGAGCCTTTCATGTCAGGCTTCCCGAACGCACAGCCTTCGTCGTACAATCCGTCGATTGCTGCAGCTTTCGGGCCAGAGCCCAATCGCATACCATTCTTGAATACGAAGTCTACTCCAGTAGATCGGAGCGCCTATCTGCCCCCAGCTTTTTCCGAGGACGACGACGAAGACGAGAAAGCTGTGCCTTACTTCTCGCCGGTCAAATCGGTACCCACGAATACCGATCAGGACAAGATGCGTGTCACACGCTCTTCTGCGGGAGGAGCGGCCCCCAGCTCCCCACAAGACGAAATCAGCGCAGGTGAAGGTAGCGGTTTTGGTAGGCGTGTGCCTCCAATTAGGGTCCGCAAACCGCGCGCCGACGATGTGAGTCTTGGTAGCTTGCTCGTGCGCGGCTGTCTTCATACACTGGTCGCATACATGCTGCCGCAGACTGATGCGCGACACCTTCTATAGGACGAACCTGGCGAGCGCCCTGCAAGACGCTCTACTCGAGCATACAACCACAACGACGAGGAGGAGTATGACGCTAATGGAGATGAGGATGCTGAAGGAGAGGAAGACGAGGAGGACCTCGAAGGAGAAGAAGAAGGAGAAGCAGAAGAGAGAAAGCCTGTGCGCTTGACGCGCAGTGGCCGGCCTACGAAGAGCTACGCTGAAGACGAAGATGATGAAGAGAGTGATGGTCCCATCAAGCCGCGAGGTCGGGGCACTCGCAGCAGCGGGCGGCCGTCGAGAACGAGCGCCGTCATGCAGGATGTGAGCACTGCTGACCACACTCGACTATGAACCAATGACTCACTGTTGCCTTTGTGCGGCTTCGCCATGCGCAGTTCGTAGTCGATGACGAAGATGAGGACGCGGAGACAGACTACGCTTCCAGGAGCAAGGGTCGAAAGCTGCGTGGGGCCAGCAGCGGCAGTCGCGTCGCCGCCCTCGCGAAAAGGCGCAAAACGACAAGACGCGGAAGCGCAGAGTCGGCGCCTGCAATCGAGACTGATGAGGATGGCGAAGAAGGCCACGATCAGGATGGCACCGATGCAGATCTTCCACCCAGTCAGCGCAACTATCGTCTCCGACAGCGCAAGGAAGTCAATTACTCGCTTGCCGCACCTCCGCCCTCCCCTCCGCGAGACGGATTTGGCCGCATTGTGCGAGGACCACGAGGCTCGAAGAGTGGGGGTGTCAGTGGCGGAGCTTTCGAGATTGAAGGCCTCGGCAACGGCACGTCGAGGGGAAGGAACGGGAAAACTGGCTGGGACGCGCTTCCGCACTCGATGTCCGGCAAGGATTACGCGAGGGCGTTCGGTGAGGAGCCCGACACGTCCGATGACGACATTCCAGCTGCTCGCAAGGCGGGCGGCGCACTTGGCAGCAGCGCAGCTGGAGGCGGTTTGCTCGGGGCGGGCGGTGTTGGCGCTGGGAGTGCTGCGGCCGTCATGGGAGGCCCTGGCGGAGCTCTAGGCGCGAACCGTGATGCTGTCGGAAGGATGAAGGGTGGTGCCGAGTTTGCCGATGCGGATCCGCTGGGCGTCGACATGAAAGTCGACTTTAACGCTGTGGGCGGTCTCGATGCACACGTGCAGCAACTTAAGGAGATGGTGTCCTTGCCGCTCCTTTACCCTGAGGTGTTCCAGCGCTTCAAGGTAACACCGCCACGGGGGGTCCTCTTTCACGGCCCACCAGGCACCGGTAAGACCCTCGTCGCTCGAGCTTTGGCGGCTAGCTGCAGCAGCTCTGGCCAGCCCATCTCATTCTTCATGCGGAAAGGTGCGGATTGCCTGAGCAAATGGGTTGGGGAAGCAGAGCGGCAACTTCGCTTGCTATTTGAGGAGGCACGGGCCTCTCAGCCTAGCATCATCTTTTTCGACGAAATCGATGGGCTTGCACCAGTGCGCAGCAGCAAGCAAGATCAGATCCATGCGTCTATCGTCTCAACACTACTGGCATTAATGGACGGTATGGACGGCAGAGGCCAGGTCGTCGTGATCGGAGCCACCAACAGACCTGATTCCGTTGACCCAGCGCTACGCCGTCCCGGCCGTTTCGACCGCGAGTTCTACTTCGGACTGCCAAACAGAGAAGCAAGGCGCGCGATCATTGACATTCACACCAAAGAATGGAACCCACCCTTGGACACCGCATTCAAGGACCGCTTGGCCGAAGTCACCAAAGGGTACGGTGGTGCTGACCTCCGGGCTTTGTGTACCGAAGCTGCGCTCAACGCTATTCAGCGCCGTTATCCTCAGATCTACCAGACCACTGAACGACTCCTCCTTGATCCACAAACGATACACGTCGATGCCAAGGACTTTATGATGAGCGTCAATAGTGAGTATTGATTGACGATGATGGCCCGTCCTCGAAGTCGCACATCTGACATTTCCGCAATGTGCAGAGATCGTGCCCTCCTCAGCCAGGTCAGCTTCATCTGCAGCTCAGCCTTTGCCCGAGCATCTCAAGCCTCTCCTGGAGCACACAGTCCAGCGAGCTGTACGTGCTCTCCAGAAGGTCCTGCCACCGGCTGCAAAGCGCAATCCGCTGGAAGAGGCACTTTGGGAGGACGACGTGCAGTCTGGTTCGAGTGTTCCAGACGGAGGCTTCGGCCGGGAGATGCTCTTGCAATCCTTTGAGGCCATGCGGGTCTTCCGTCCACGTCTGCTCATTCACGGTCAGAATGGTATGGGGCAGGGTATCACCGGCGCTGCTCTTCTGCATCATCTCGAGGGCTATCACGTCCAATCTCTGGATATCGCTTCTTTGCTAGGCGACTCTGCCAGGACGCCAGAGGCAGCCATCGTCCAGCTTTTCGTGGAAGCGAAACGCCATAAGCCGTCTGTGATCTTCATTCCGGGTCTGGCGCAATGGGCTACCTCTAGTTCTGATTCAGTCCGCTCAACAGTCAAAGCGCTGCTCGACGGCCTTTCCCCTGCCGATCCAGTGCTCTTGCTCGCAGTCGCAGAAGAGCCAGTGGAGTTGCTCCCTCGCGACGTGCGCTCCTGGTTCGGTTATCTCGACGACAACAAGGTTCAGATAGAAGCGCCAGGTGTCGAAGCTCGCAGAATGTACTTCAACGACGTATTCGAGCATGCCATGCGACCTCCGAACGAATTTCCAGACGCGTTGCCTCGCCGCAAGAGGCAGCTCGAAAAACTTCCAATTGCTCCGCCACGCAAGCCCCGGGAACTTACCGTTGCTGAGCTTGAGCAGCAGAAGGCAGACGATCAAAGATTGCTGGAGCATCTCAAGCATCGCCTGGGTCTGGTCCTTGTGGACTTGCGCAAGAAGCACAAGAGGTTCACGAGAGATGTCTGGGTGAGTCGGCCTTCACGCGATGCTGCTGTCGCATGTCTACTGACGTCACCGTTTCGCTGCAGGACGAGTACAATCTAAGAGCGCTCACGGAACAGTTCGACTATCGCAAAGAGAAAGGAAAGGTGATCGTCACGATCTTGTACGATGAGACCTCCATCAGCACTCGCCGCAGACGTCGTTCAAGCGTTGACGTAACCGGTGCCGAGCGATTTGGAGAGGCTGCAAAGGATATCGCAAGAGGCGACGAAATGCAGCAGGATTCTGACCACGTCGTTTCGACTTCACATGCGGAGATTGCGGCCCAGCCACCGCCAAATGGAGACGTGTCCATGTCTGACGTCGATACAGCGCCTGAGCAGGCAGCAATGCAAGCATCCGGCGCAGTTCAAATCACTGCGGGTGAGACCAACGGGACGGTCCTCACTAATGGTCACGCTCCTGAAGAAGCGAAACACAGGGGTCATGACCTAAATGTGCCCGGTCTCCCAGGACTTCGACACTCGTCTCAAGCCGGCTACTACGAGCGTGATCTTGTCTTGTGGACTTTAACGCTGGAAAAGATGCAGAAGCGTCTCTACCACAACGGCTACTTGACCGTAGACCAATTCGTGGAAGATCTCGGCAAGATTGTCTGGAATGCAGAAATGGCTCAGGAAGTGGATCAGGAGCGGCTTGTGCGAGCACACCAATGCCGCAACGAAGCTATCATTCGCCTGGACGCCATTATTGAGCCTGCATTCAAGGCGGAAGTGGAAGGTATGGCGGCCAGAACCCTCAAGCGAGAGCAAGAAGAGGCAAAGCAGACGGCTAAAGCCGCAGCGACGGCTTCCGATAATGCAGCAGCAGACGCGCCTCGCCGCCCGTCGGGCGAGCGATTCAGCGCGCGCCAGCAAGGCAAAGCTCCCGAAATCAGACTGGTGGATGTCCTCGCCTTGGAACGTGATGGCAAGCGTTCGCGCCGCAGTTCCAGCCGGGTGCCGAGTGGTGCGGGAGACGAAGCTGCACGGAAGCGCCTCAAGCAGGAAGCTGACGAGCAGCTGGCCGGGCAGGGTTACCGGAGTGCGCCCGCTTCGCAAGCGAGCAGCGATGCACCCATCGTTCAGTCCACTCTGGTTGCTGCCGGCGGAGCGCAAGCGCAGCAAGTTTTGGGATTTGACAGGCGCCCAGTGCCGACTACAATGCACGCAAGTATTAGTAGCAGCATCTCCTCACCAGGCCCTTCCTCAGGTATAGCCACACCGACTCGCGCACAGGCATTGCCCAGCGTGCCCGCCACTGGCGAACCGCAGCACCTGAACGACGCGATGACGATCCTTGAAGCGCCATCTCCTCAGCCTGCGCCAGTCGCCCATCCGCCTTTCAAGATCTCGCATCACGATATGAGCAACCTTGCGAGTCAAGTGCTGGCCTTGACGCACGACTTTACAATAGAGCAGCTTGAGCAGCTTCGCGCAGCGTGCTTTGACGCTGTGTGGCGACATCGCTCGGAGTGGGACCGGTCCACGTTGGTGCAAGAGCTGAGAGATCTCGTACAGCAGATTGCTGCTGCCGTGGCTACTGACAAAAGGGAACGTCAACTGGAGGCTGCTGCGCTGCAGGCATTGTGAACACGATGACGCTTCTCTCACTTTCGAGATTCGCCTTTGTATCATACACGCTCCTCTAGTCGCGAATGCAATCAGCAGTGAAAGCATCGTCTGCGCCTGCTGAGAGCCCGCCCTCGTCTTGCACAACTTCTCCGAACTCCGACTGCCCTTCTTCCATGCCCAAGCGGTCGCGTCACAGCCTCATGCCCCTTGTCCACCCTGCTCAATTGCGTTTTGATTTGTGCAATTGCGACCTGCCTGCCTCACGGCTCCGCCGCAATCGTGGCTTGCAGACGAGGTTCGTCCTGGCGACACGCTCGCTTGGCGAAGATCCCCGAAAAGTCGAGCCCCCCCCCATTGCTCTGATGCTCCGGGGATGCCTGAAGCGTGACTGTCGCAAGCCTCAGCTCCCGCGCCAAGAGTCTCCTGGCGAGTGATAACTGATGCAGAGAAAGCACGGCATCGCATCTTCTTTCAGGAGGAAGCGTATGACCCTGCCAACCTTGTGAAGCCGATGCGGAAATGCCAGCGTTCCGTTCTTCTGGGCACGAACCTTAATCCGGTCTTGCCCTGAAGGGGACCAGCGAAGTGCGAGTGTGGCAACAGATTCACGATTGTTTGCGCGATCGCGCCAGTATGCCGTACCGCGAGGTTCGCTCATGGTGAAGCGCCATGCGAAGTGCTATGGCCTGCATGCCTCCCTGTGTGCTTACCTCCCTGTGTGCTTATCTAGCCGAGGCGCAAAGGGGTTATGGATGGCTCTCCGTAGCTATGAGCGATTCAGCCTCCAAGACAAGCGCATTCGGCCTCCCATACGAGCACATCCTGCACACGCTGGAGCATCGAAAAGGCTGCAATTCACATTCAGATTCTGTGATTGCATGTTCTCGAGTGAGCATCGCATCGCATGATCACGAGGCTTGTCATGTAATCGGGCCAGTCAAAGGAGGTCACTGGGGCATATTGGAACGGGAATCAGTCTCCACAAGTGCGGTGCGGCTCCGAGCTCTGGGCTCAGCAGGCCCATGCGTCTACTGTAGACCAGCATTTGAACTTGATCGAATCACGGCCGTTAATTGAGTCCCGAGTGCCGCTGCTTGCATGGGGCCGACAAAGGTTTGCTGACCGGATTTGAATTTGCCTCCGGTTTAGCCACATCTTCACTGCCCAATCGCGGGAGCGTTGCGGGCCTTTGCAAGCTGCGAGCTGCGAGCTGCGACACGGACACGGACACGGACACGGACACGGACACGTACTCGGACAACAGTACATACTACTCCTATTCACGATTACTCGTGACCACAGAGATGGTGTTCCATCTGCCGACTCGTTGGTCTACTGTAGACGAAACGCTCGTGGCGACGGCGTGCTTCAGGAAAGGGTCCAAATGACGCATGCTCCCATCGTGGCTCTGATAAAGCAGAAGGCAAGTGCTGCTTGATCTGCTAGCTGGACGAACGTCAATGCTGATGTTATACAATCACGTGAACTGTGCAAACCGTCCGCAATTGAATGCGCTCCACGATGGAAATCGTGAATCGTGAATGTGATGTTGTCAAGGAGCTCTGTGGCCGCGCTTTGGGTGTTTGCTGCGTTGAACGCTTATATGGCATCAACAGCGTGCTGCAGTCACGATGTGTGTGTGCAACGCTCCCACGCTGCGTCTCGTCCTATGCATATGCAATGCGATGATGGATGACAAGCACGCAGAAACAAATACAGCAGAGTAGGTTTGGCTGAGTAGCGTACGCGTACGCATCGCCATCGTTGTGCGCCGTGATCCGTTGAATTGCCACGCCAGCATGAATCGATCGACTCGTGGCTGCATGGGCGAGACGCGTTGGCCCTGCATCTTGCACTTGCAGCAGCTACGCTAAGCGCGGCAGCAAAGAGCTGTTGCATTGGCCGAACGGAAAGTGGGTTTCCGATGGCTTCTAGACTGAGCAAATGCCTCTTTTCGCACTACCAGGGATCTCCGAAGCTCCGCGCACTAGAAGACGAATGAATGCTCACACACACTCGTGACTCACGACTATGCGGTCTAATAATCAAGAACATGGCCGGGCCATCCCTTTCCCTGGTTACAGCAGAGTGTCGCGACGACACCACCCAAGGAAGACCGCGTGGTCCCTTTCACAAGAACAACAAATGTTGCAACTACAACATGAAAGTTCAGAGGGTCGGTCGTACAGTGCACCACCTCGTGGACTTTCTTGTTGTCGTTGCTTGCCCACTAGATCGCAGCTCGCGCACGTCTAGATGGAAGAGCACCTTGTGACATGTTGAGCTGTTGCGAGCGTCAGACGAGTGAAGGCAGTCCTGCTCGAGTGGTACGGTACAAGTCGAAGGCAGCTCATTCGCAGTCGGCAGCCGCTCACAATCGCTATACCGGTACCGCTTGGCTGATCCACCGAGCTCTTTTGAGCCGTTCAAGGCAACCCACAATTCACCAGCGCGGTCGAACTGTATTCTCGGGATGGCTTGGCCTCGCCAAAAGCAAGCTCCAGCCCAGCGCGGGTGGCGCAAAGCCA